TATGTATTCTTAACTACTCAACCAAAGCCGGTCGCTACGCTCGCGAATAACTTCCCATTTCATTATACCTTAACACAAAACGTATTATTCATACATATTAATTATAACTTAAATGTATTATAGTTATATATATATAAGTAGGTATATAAATTTATTAACTATGATTTCTTACCATTACCGAATAAGTAGAAAAAGTAATTTAAATTAAAATGTTTAAAATATAACTTATTCATGCGCCGAACGTCATTCGTTCCACACGTTAATATTTCGCTCATTCTTAAATGTTCTGTAATTTATCGACCTAGTTATCAAATGTCACAAACTTTATATCGTTGTACGCGTAAAAAAATTTCCAATAGTACTTGACCCATATCAGAGTGGGTAAACGCCAAATATTCATATTAACTCAAAAAAACGGGTAAATATAATTATATATTATACACTATAATTAAATATAAAGTAGGTACTGTCGTACCGATAAAAGTCACCGGACGCCCCGACCATAGGTCGGCGGTCGTTAGTCATTACGTTTGTCGTTGCGTCGCATCGCGGCGTCTTATCTTCCAATTAGCATAATGAGTTCGCCCAAATCAAATATGAATTTTATCGAGAAAACAAAACAACCAACAAATATACCTTCTACTCGTAATCGAAATAACACTCTATCAATTCGAACGCAAAGTACGTCAAGCGATGTTTTCGATTCGTCTTTAAACACGGACGAAAATAATGTCAAAAAACAAAAATCAAAAACGCACTCTCTCTTCACCTAAAGCCGATGAACATGAATCAAAAAAAAATAAACCAATGTTCGTAACTGCAAATAGATACAGCCCTTTAGCCACAAATGATAACGTAGAGAATATCAGCACGCTCTCACCACCAATAAATAATACTGATGACATCAGTGATGCTCAAACTCCTAAAATCAAACTACCACCTCCGATATTCGTCCGAGATTTGCTTGATTTTGCAGGCTTTCGCAACACATTAATTGAATTAATAGGCTCGGAAAACTTTACATTTAAATCATCCACCAACGTCATAAAAATCCAAACAGCAAACCCTGATTCGTACCGAAAAATAATACACCTCTTAAAAGAGAAAGATGCGCAATACCATACATATCAACCACATGAGGAAAAATCGTTCCGCATAGTTATACGTAACCTACATCCTTCAACTCCTATTGAAGATATTGGAACTGCCATAGAAGATATGGGTTTCTCAGTTCGTCAAGTTGTCAACGTCCTTCAAAAAATAACAAAAATTAAACTGCCCATGTTCTTCGTTGATTTAGTTCCAGCAGTAATCAATACAGAATTATTTCACGTCACTTCATTGCTTCACACAAAAGTCAAAATTGAAGAGCCTCATAAACGCAAAGACATTATTCAATGCTTGAACTGCCAAGACTACGGCCACTCAAGAAAATACTGTTCATATTCTCCAAGATGTGTTCGTTGTGGTGACAACCACCCCTCTACTTCCTGTACTAAATCCACCACCACGCCCGCCAAATGTGCCCTGTGTAAGAGTGACCATCCGGCCAACTACAAAGGTTGTAAAATATACAAAGATCTTCAACAACTCCGGAAACCTGCCACAAATAATCATGGTAACTATCAAAATAATAAAAATGTTGTAAATAATATAAATATTACTAAAAATACTAATTGTGAAGCCACCCAACAGCCAACTGTCAATGATTATACACCTCCAAAACGTTCTCAGACTTACGCACAGGCTACTCATAATAATAACTCTGATCCAACTTCTAATAATCAAATTAACGATAACACACTTTCAAACTTTCTTAATGAATTTAAAGCACTAATCAATCCTTTACTTTTTCTCCTCACAACAGTTCTCGACCGTCTTCTTGCACAAAATGTCAAGTAACTCAAATAATTCATTCACTTCCCAATCATTGGTTATTCTCATGTGGAACGCTAATGGTTTAACAAATCAAAGAAACGAACTTATAATGACGCTAAATGATAAAAGAATAGACATAGCACTAATCTCAGAAACACATTTCACAACTAACACCAATTTTTCAATACCAGGTTGCAAAATAATTAATTCATGCCACTCGGACAACACCTCACACGCTGGTGCCGCGATTCTCATTAAATCTTCACTTCTATTTACTCCCTGTCCAAATATACAGGAAAACTTTTTACAAGCTGCCATTTTAACAATAAAATTAAATCACACTCCAATCACTATTGCAGCAACTTACTGCCCACCCAAACACAAAATTACGCCACTACAATATGAACATTTTTTTAATTCTTTAGGTCACTATTTTGTAGTCGGCGGCGACCTAAATGCCAAAAACCAATCCTGGGGCTGCCACACTTCTAACCCTAAAGGACGTACTTTACTCCAAATAGTTAATCAAAAAAAATATTCCATACTAGCTCCCCCTGACCCAACTTACTGGCCAACGTCTATAAATAAACGCCCAGATATCTTAGATATATTTGTAGTTAATATCCCTACTAGATTACAAAACGTCATAAATAATTGCTTAGATCTATGCTCAGACCATACTTCGGTTGTTCTTTCTCTGGATGCACAACCTTCTCCCCGGCCCCGTCAAGCTTGCCTTACGGATGGTATTACGGACTGGATTAAATTCCGCGAAATAATTGACCAAAACATCGACCTAAAAACTAGTCTTAAATGCCCAAATGAACTAGAAAACGCTGTTCAACATTTTACGAGTATAATTCAAACAGCTGCTTGGAGTTCGACTATTAAAAAACTGGGGAATGCCCAAAACTCCCCCCCAGTTCCTACTCATATCCGTGAACTAATCGCTAAAAAACGACGTGCCAGATCTATCTGGCAACGTACCCGTCTCTCATCTAATAAAAATAAGTTCAACAATCTTGCTTCCTTACTCAAACGTACTTTAAAACAATTAAGAAATGAGAATTTCGGTTCTTGGGTTTCTTTGCTTACATCGCAAAATGGTTCTCTTTGGAGAGCATCTCGAAACAGTTTGTAACAAAAACCCACAAATTCCCCCCTAAAAAGTCAAGATAATACTTGGTGCCAAACTGATGCTGAAAAATCTGAACGTTTCCGCTCCCATTTGATTGAAGTCTTCCAACCTCACCACGACATTGTTAACAATACATTTGAAAATTATATTGCAAACTCCCTCACAACCCCATTTCCACTTTATCGTGCACCTAAACCTGTTTCGCCTGGTCTGGACTTGATTACCGCAGAAGTATCTCTACAGTTACCGAAAAAAGCTATAATACACCTTGCGCACATATTAAACGCTATCATAAGACTTTCCCATTTTCCGCTCCAATGGAAAACCTCAGTCATCATCTTAATTCTAAAAGCCAGGCAAACCCCCCGATACTCCGTCCTCATATCGACCCATAAGTCTCCTACCACTCTTCGGTAAACTTTGTGAAAAATTAATTTTAAAACGTATTTCTCCTTTCTTAAATGATGTATCAGTTATACCACAGACCCAATTCGGTTTTCGTGAACGTCACTCAACCATTCACCAAATACACAGACTGACTGACTCCATATCTAATTCCCTAGAAAAAAAAGAATACTGTTCAGCAGCCCTACTTGATGTATCTCAAGCGTTTGATAAAGTGTGGCATCCTGGTCTCTTGTACAAATTAAAAAAAAATTTACCTCTACCCTACTACCTATTTTATAAATCTTATCTTGAAGACCGTTACTTTGTGACCAAAATTGGATCAGAAATGTCATCCTTGGCTCGAATTTCCGCCGGGGTCCCCCAAGGAGCCGTCTCATCCCCCACTCTTTACAATCTGTATTCAGCTGATCAACCGACAACCCCTTACACCTCAGTTGCAGATTTTGCCGACGACAAAATTATTTACTCCTCACACAAAGACCCAACAATTGCTGGCATGAATCTACAAAACCACCTAAACCTTATGTCTTCCTGGTATGACAAATGGAAAATAAAAATAAATCATGAAAAAATCTACTCATCTAACCTTTACATTGAATCGTGGAACCGTACCACCTATAAACCTAAATAACCTAATCATTCCAAAATCCTCTAGCGCCCGTTATCTGGGCCTATTTCTAGATCAACGATTAACCTGGGCAGACCACATAAAAAAGAAAAAAATCCTCCTGAACTCTAGAAGGAAATCACTACAATTCTTACTCGGAAAACACTCTAAACTTAATATAAAAACAAAATTACTCTTATATAAAACTCTATTAATGCCCATTTGGACGTACGGTATTCAACTATGGGGCGTAGCCAAAAAATCAAACACAAATAAAATTCAAACCTTTCAATCTACAACCCTCCGTATAATCACGAATGCCCCTTTTTATGTTTCTAATCACACCCTTCATACAGACTTAAATATTAATACAATAGAAGAAACTACCAAAATTCTTTATAAACGTTTCCGCTCCCGACTGATGAACCACTCCAATCCACTTATTACCGCTCTAGGTTCCGACACCATTCCTGGTAATCCTCCTCGTCGATTAAATAGAAAGTGGTGCAGAGACTTAAATACCAATTAAAAAAATATATATATAGGAAAAAAATTAACCTAATCATATTAGAAAGTGTCGCCATTGGGTGGCTGCTTTTATCACGTACCAATGTCAAGCTATAGTATATATTCCGCATGCATACTTATTGTAATAACTAATTTACAGATTGTACGCCGTATAATAAAAGTTAAAAAAAAATATAACTTTTTAAGTCCGGATAATAAATAATGGCAAGCCATATTTGGGTCACACTTATATTTTATGGTGATGCATGTGAAAAATCCTATAAAACTGTAGGTACACAAACTATTAACCAACAAAACTAACCAAATTAAAAATAGTATAAGTTTGCCTTTGTTCTTTAAACATACCAATAATATATATGAATGAATACAAATTACATTTTATCAAATCAATTTCAACACATGCCATTCTACCAAGTACCAATACAGTGAATATATTTTAACTTAGGAACACATTGATATCTAGAAAGTAAAATTAAATTTATAAAATAACATAGTATTCCAATTTGTATGATACAACATCTCTACATTTTTAATAGTAAATAAAGAAAAACAAGAACTTACAACGTAAGTACTATCTACTTCTTATAATAAACATATTCAATAGTATAAACAGTGAATTATAACAAACAATAAGATATTTTCTATAACTTTTTTCTAGATTGAATAGTAGCAAAATTATCAATAATATCTTCAAATTTAATTTGTTTTGTTATTTCTGATTCAATATTCAATATAGCAAGTGCATTTAATCTCTCTTTAGATATTGTTGATCTTACATAAGATTTAATACGACGTAGAGTTGAAAATGACCGTTCAGAATTACAATTTGAATACGGAGTACATAAAAACATGTGTAAAGCAATACTCACATAAGGGTAGATGTCTTCTAATTCTTCTGTTTTTAATATAGAACTCATAGCAATTATAGTTGTTGGAGGATTATTTTACTTTGAATGTAACTTTGGAAATGAACACATTCATTAATAAATACTACATCTAAATCTTTTTTATATATTGAACACAAATGTTCCGCTGAAACACGAACTTCTGATGATTTTATCTTGGTAAGTTTTAAAAAAAAACTATACTTTGAGATCACATTATCATAAGCTAACTTTCTACTTGTTAATTATTCTATTAAAGAATCACATATCACAAAATATGTATTTACTTTAAATTCTAAGCTACCGGCTAAATTAATTTCATTATCATTAGTTGTTTCATCATGATATTTTGACCTTCTTTTTATACGTTTATAAATTGTTTCATATTTATTTTTACACATTCTCAAGGCTAGTTTTTCATAATGTGTAAACATATCATCTGAACGGAGATTTATGACATATCTTATCAATGATTCATATTGATCACAAACAATACATACATCAATATTAACACAGATTGTAGATATTTATTAGCTACATTAAATCGTTGAAGTAAATCACCCCAAAATAATGACATAAAGGTAACTTCAAAACGGTTCATCAATTTAAGCAAACCACGAGCTTCATTATGGGTATTAGGTTTTTCATTTATATTTTCTAATATGTCACACAAACTTTGTTTAATGTTATCCCAATTTTGGTTCAGAGCTTTACATGCATCATCTCGTGCGGACCATCTTGTATCAGAGAGACTTTTTAAGGTTAAATTTACTTTAAGTAAGTTCCAACGATGAGTAGATGCAGCAAAAAATGTATAAATATTCTGAATAAAATTAAAAAATATATTGGCTTCCTTGCAGCAACTTGCTGCACATGATCCTACTAAATTCAAAGAGTGTGCTGAACAAGGAACAAAGTCAGCTAACGGGGAAATTTCTTTAATTCTAGCCTGGAGGCCTGAGTAAAGACCAGACATATTTTTCGCGTTGTCATATGACTGACCTCTTAAATATGTAATATCAATATTAAATTTTTTTTAAGTAGAAAATACTGCATCAGCCATACACTGGGATTTATGTCCAATATTTTCTAAAAAACATAAAAATCTTTCTACTGGTAAACCTCCATCATTTACATACCTTAATATAAAAGAAAGTTGATCAACGTGTGCAATATCTGGAGTTGAATCAATAATTATAGAGAAATATTGTGCACTTATGACTTCTTCGACTATTTTATTTTGTACTTTAGATGCCATAAATTTAATAAATTGTTCGTAAGTTGAATGAGATAAATAAAAAGTGTGACCTTTCCCAGGATTACCATAATTTGATAAATGATTGGCCAAAAAAGGATCAAACTCAGCAATCAATTTAAGACACATCATAAAGTTACCATTGTGCGGTGAACCAATATTTTCATTGTCACCTCTAAAAGGTAAACCACGACTAGATAACTATTTGACAACAGCGCAAACTCGCGTGAGCACATTTTTCCAATATATTTTTTCTGTTTCGAATTGAAAAGTAAGCGCTTCATTAATATTGTTCAATTTAGAAGATCTGTTTTTCATGTTAACTACACATGTTTTAGGTGAAAGTGAATTTTCATGTTTATCTATTGATTTTGGTCTTTTCTAATCCGAAAACCCATTTTTTGAAAATTCTGAAGTATTTTTAAATAAATAGCAGGGAATAAAATAAACTGAACCCTTAGATGGTGAATAAACTAGATACTTTTGAAGGCATTTATTGCCATTGACTAAAACTGTTTCAAAAAAACTTATATTTACATAACGATTGATATTTCTAAATGAACCTCTACAACTGACTGATAAATTCTTTTTGATTGACTGAAACCTGAATCTAAATTTTGACTATACCCATTTTTACAAATATAATCAATTATATATTCATTTATTTCCCATTTAGCTGGATCTGACCTACAAAATAAATCACATAAACATATTAATTTTAATATTATTGTTAAGATTGTAGATAAAATGTAAGAAATGGTAAAATATATTAATAAGAATTACCAAGTTCTATACCTATATTCTAAATTGATCATATAATTTTAAGTATTACAAAATTAGTTCTGTTAACTAACTAGAAATGTATTATTTAAACGTTTAAAAGTAAAATATTCAAAATCACTAAATCCCTCGCGTTACTCAAAATTTAAAATTTGAAAATATATTATAATTAAATATGTAAATACCAATAAATAATTTTAAAAAATTCCTAAATAACAGAAAACAAGAAAAATATATGATAAACCAAATTAATATACTTACTCAAACTCAAAAAATTCATCAATTTTTAAATAGTTACGTTTTTCATCGATTTCATATAAAGATATCTCTGTTTTTCTTAAGCTGAAAATTATAAATTTACTTGTATTTTAGCGTAACCTAATCAAAATGTATTTAAAATATTAATAAATAATAACATATGACTGATAATATACAATTATTAGGAGTAAATTTTACTGAAAAAAATAAAATACCATATAAATATATTGAAGTAAATTATTATCAATGTTGATTTAATTGATTGATGGACAGTTAATAAATTAAAATAATTTTAAAAATCTAAAAAATTAGAGCTATAACCAATTATTTAGTTATAAAACTTAAATACTTAAATCAGAAAAAATTGTATTATTGCAGTAAAAGCACTGTATTAAATTAATAACATTTCCGTATAAATAATATACACATACTGGTATTTCTCTGACTTTAGAGTAATTTAAATGTTTCCATCTAGTATCCTGACAAAACTAATCTATCTGCCAACCCTTTTAAATTTTTTTTTGAAACATAACCATGTAAGTACTCATTACTAAATTATATTAAATTGTAAGTGCACTATGCATACTATGCATACTCAGAGACTTCAGTATGTTTTAAGTTATCATCAGGCATTTTAACAATCTGATTATCAGAAAAAGGCATTTCTTTCTTAATAAATCTAAAAAAAAAAAAAAAAAAAATGAATTCACTATAATTATAATTTGATACATTTATATCATTTTTGTGTAAGAACCTAACTTTAGATCCTTAACATTATCCAAGTAGATGTTATCACTACGTTTTTCACCGATTTCATTTGATTTATCTAAAATGGAAACTATTTAAGTATTAAACATTTAAATTATTAAATTTATAATTAATTTTAGTATTTTTTTCTTACCATGTTGAGACTTGCTCATCTGCTTGAACATTGAACCAATATTTTTTGTGTTTTTTAAAACTTCATTAAGTTTTTCTTTCTTCTTTCTTGCTTCATTACGATTGTGAGCACCACTAGTTTTGACTCTCTTCGGTGCCATTAAAATATAATTAACTTGGATACCTATGAAAATGGTAATGACACAATTATTCTCACATAACTATATTTATTAACTATTATTTTCTATAGATTAAACTACTACATACAACTCATAGCAAATGTATTAATATTCATAATAATTGTACGCAAATTTAAAATATACCTAGTATAGTTAGTTACCTCAACCTTACAATATTAATTATTAAGTTATAAATTTTAACACTTAGTTTTTATACTATGTATTTCATCATACTCACATATCAAGTAACAATTAACACATTCTTATTTATTTTATCGATTCAAATTATATAGGTAAGTAGGTACATACATCATAGGCACAAAACTTTTAGGTTTTATCGAAGGGTACAAAAAATTGTGATTTGAAATGGGTAACACATTTTTTTTTTTTTACAGTTACTTATTTTAAATTTATTAATATCAATAAATAATTACTAAAAAAGTATTCTTAACTAAACTCAAATAATTTACTGGTGATAAAATATTAAAATACATGCATTAATATAGATAGGTACCAAAATATAGGCAAAATACTAAATATCAATCTTTTTATAATCTAATAAAGGCAGTTTTTTAAATCATTTTTGTTAAAAATGTTCTTTTTCAACCTAAAGAAAACAAATTAATAAAAATAATTTATTAGATTACCTACTTTCACAGTTAAAATTAACTTCAAGTTAAATATGTGGTTAAATATAACCTATTGGCTATTATCAAAATTCAAAATTTCAAAAATTAATTTAATTTTCACAATCTGAATTCCGTACTTGTAATTTTGTTAGGGCAAACTTCGATAATTTCTTTAATAGGTGTATAATTGTACATATTTATACATGATGTACCTAGTTAAATAATTTGAATTATTATTTATTTGCAAATATGCCCTATGATGGTTAAGGGACGGGCTTAAAAAAATATACCCGATTTTTTTTTTCTAGGAATCGACAAAATTAAAATAAAAAAATAAACGTTTGATACTTTACTCGTAATTCAATAAAATATATTATTTAGAACTAGCTTAAGAATCATCGATCATATAAACCGAAAATGTATATAGTCGAAACAAATTTCATATTTTATAATATTTTATACCTACCAATTATAATAAATAAAATTAACTTACCTTTTATTAAATTATAATCTTCCAATCAAAAATCCAACAGTAATATAGGTACTAGTTTAATAATATAAAAGTAAGTATAACGATTAACGAAATTACGGAAGAGTGGACACCGTGCACTGAGCTGACAATAAAAACATAACCAATTGTTCACAACACAACACATATCTACATTTTACATAGTATTTCGTAGAAATCTATACGTCGTTTGTCGACAATAATATTGTTAAAAATAGTTTTATTTTGATGATTTCCGATGGCGAACATCCGATAACGATTTGATTTTGGTTATCTAATTATATTTATAGTACACCTCACTAAAAATAAACTAGAGTTGAATAATCAATTGATATATTACGAATTAAAATTATTATTAATAATAATAATAATAATAATAAATAAAATTGTACGATTATTTTTAAATTTAATATTTTTTTATTTATTATTTTTTTTACTTACATAGAAGCATTACAATTTTTCTTTATTTTATCTGAGTCTAAATTTGCCGCCCCCAAAGTGTGGCCACCCCCGGGCAATTGCCCACCGATGCCCCCCCCCCCCCTTAAAACCGGCCCTGCTTACATGATATGACTTATAAGAAAAAACCAACTACTAAGATATTTTATACTTTATTATAAAGCTATTTAAATACATTATACTAGATATATTCGATCAATAATCAATAAAGTTCGTTACAACGACACGATATTAATTATAATTGTTTATACCAATAATTACATTTTTTAACATCAGAATGGTAGTTCAGTAATCCTAAAGGACCCGTATATACAATATCGTTAGTAAAAATTTATGTTTATAATAATTATTTTGTATTACAGTTTTAATATAAACATAAAATTAATCAGAGAAAATACGAGAAAGATTAGTGGTCTATTTTAAAAATATCTTAGTTATCTTTAATGGCGTATAATTAAAGGAGATAAATGCTTTGTGATAATTGTTCCATTGTATTGCTTTCTCATGTTCATCGTCGCTGTTTTTCGCAATGCTGATTTCATTTTTTCTGGCCTAGGATCACTCGTAAATATTTTTCGTTACTTATGTCTAGTATTTTTGTTTCATATTTGAACCCCCTTGACATTATATTTATACTTCCAGTTATTTCAAAACTTCAGGATCTAATATATAAGGTCCATTAATTATCGTTCGGTGCCATTAGTTTTGCAATAATTATGATTTTTTTTTTTTTGTTTGCAGAAATAGTTTACTGATAATGGACAACGTAGTTTTGAATATCATAGTTTGCTTTGAGATGCGAACACATGAATCCCTCGTTGGTAACTTTAACCAGGTAGTCACACATACATATGACAACGGCCATCGAGTGTATAACATAAGTTGACACATAATCGTTTTTACTTGAGTACCTTGAAAATAATAAACTTTCCGGCTCAAGTCCCCAACGAAGAATTCACGTGTCTGCATCCAAAAACCGATAGTAAAAATATATACCGCGTTTATCATAATGCCTGTTGATGACCAATTATACAAAAAATGGCAAAGTGAATCGCACCAACCGATAATTTGGAGACAACTGACAAAGGGACATTATCGAAAAATATTGTTTCGTAAAAATATTGTACAAGCTCACAATCACACATGTGAAGGTAGCAAGACGAAGATGGATGGGACAAGTGATAGTGATGGTGGTGCTGATGACGTATAAAACGATGTCCGGTAGTAGGTGTGGACATACATTTTGTGATTCAAGAAGTTGGACCCCTAATTACTGCAATTTTTTTTTTTTTAATCTATGCCGCTATTTACCATTTTATTCCCAAGTATTTACAAGTCCAAACTTCCAACGTGAAACAAAAAAATTAAAATTTAGGTAAACTTCACGTAACTCACCCATTTTGATGAAGAACTTTAAAATCAGCATCCAACGACAGCTAATTATTAGCAAGAATTCGGAAGACTGTTTTTAGAATTTGCAAGTGATTCAGGTGGCCGGCCGTTAACTTTTGAAGTTGTACATTGTGGAAACAACCTACACTGCTTGATGTATAAGCAAATTCAGTACCTACATAAGTGTGTAGAAAAGTGATAGTAAAAAATAGTTAATAATTTATTTATTTCATTTACATAAATGGTTATGAAAGACACTGAAATAATGTTTATCATTACATTTTTCTTTTCACAAAAGTAAATCACATTTTGTAAGGACGTACTGGTTTTTTTTATATTTTACCCTAACACAAGCAATACAACTTACGATAATACATGTAAATATATGAATTACATTTTTTCTTAAACAACGGATTTAATGCAATCTTGTTTAAAGATAGATGTATACGGTGAGTATCAAGTGATGATATTTTACTCTCTTATACAATTGTATTATCCGACGATCTATAACAACATATTCTTTACGAATTGGAAAAGTGTTAATAATTTCACCAAAAGAATAAATACGAAAAAATATATTTTGTCACTTAAGTTACACAAATTTAGGCAATATTTGTTCGTATTTGTACAAATTTTATTAATATAAAAATGTATTAATAACATTTTTTTATGGATACTTCTTGAACTTTTTAACTAAAATTATTACCGTAGAACGTTTGCATAATTTTCAAACCTAATAATAATGATGAAAATAGTTCATAAATTATTTAATTTGTTAATATTTCATTTAAATAATTAAATTCCTAATGAACATTTTTAGCAGTATTCGAATTTTGTAATAGACTTTTCAGTATATACATATTTCGTGATTTAAATTGTAAATTTTAGTTTTATTAATGTATGTGTATTACATACGTGTGATGTATACATTTTCTAAGAAAATTAATTTTTCGTGCATTGGTATTTATTTTATTAATAAAATATATATATTTATGTATTTATTTTATTTTATTATATTGGAATTTATTGTTTCTAATGCATACAATATAAAATAAACTGTACACATAAACGTATGTATTTATCTGTACGTTTGTTCGTTCGTTTAAATAAATAAATAAAAATTACACGGTAGTTCAAAATTAATCAAATATACGTATTTTTTATATCTAACACTAAGAATAGACTGTAGTAAATGTTATCGTTTAATCCAAAATATCTATAGATTTGACAAAACATATTATGTAGTAGCGTCACGTAATTCTATATATCATGTAAATTCACAAAATCAAAACTATAGCACAAATATGTGCACACAAAACTTAATATGATTTTGACTATAATCTTATTATAGATTATGATAACCAAATCGGTCACCCCGATCTAAATATGCTACTGCCAAGTCCCCGTCACGTCCCATATTGAAGCACATATTCATATTAAATCATATATTTCACTTCTGTCGCGCACAATCTGGTACACACCACTTTTTCTTTATTTTCTCAATACTAAAATATTAGATTCTGAATGAAACAAGTGTTGGTCTTACCATCATATATTTTTTTCGTGTATGTGTACACGATTTAGATCAGGCGAATTTCTTCAATCATCAAAATCATAAGAGATTTGATGTAGGGAACCTTGTCTAGTTGATACTTTTGAGACGCTAATATTACGAACTTCTCTACACTTCTTTTAACATTTATGAAAAATTGATGGAAAGTTATGAAAAAAAAGCAAAATTTATGGCATACCAGTTTTCGAAAAGATCGAATTTTTGTTTTCACCATAACACAAAAATAGTAATCGTTGAGACTTGATATTTTCATTTAAAGCTCATATCAGCGTACTCTAGAAAATATAATTAAAAAAAAAAAATTGAGTAAATTATAAAAAGTTGATCTTTTAGCGTTTTTTTTTCGAAAATGTCGAAAATATAATTTTGGTTGGATAAAAAGTCTTGAGAATTTAATTCGAATTTCCTCATATATATCTATATTTGATAAATAAAAAAATTGGCCTTGATAAAAAAAAATTAAAAAAATACAAGTGTTTAAGTATTACATTTTGACAAAACGATAAAAATTACTAAAATTTATTAAATTTTTATATTCAATAATTCATAAGAATTTAAATTTTTTTACAAGACTTGAAAAATGGATGAAATATTTTTTTGTAACCATAAAAAAAACTTGCTTACAAGTTGCAAAAAAATTTTTAAGCGTTAAAAGCTTATATATTTCAACGAATTTTCATTAAACGATTTGAATTATTAGAAATATTTTATAGTTTCAAAATACTTTCATGAAATGTATGCTGTTTATAGACACTTGACATTTTCGATTTCACCAAATTTTAGATGCTTTTTTTGCATAAGTTAAAAAAAAATATTAAAGTTCAAGCTAATTTATCAAAGAATTTATTTTTTCTATTATTTTATCAACCTTCTTTAGAAATATTAATCTACATAACCTTTTTTACTCAGTCATTTTTTTTCAATTCATTCATCACTATTTATCGCCCAACCTGGAAGCCCTATATTATAAGATTATAAGTTTGATACTTATATCTAATTTCGTCCTGATCCCATTCTAGATACATATCTGCTCTTCTTCTATATACATTTCTAATATTAATATTACAAAAATAAGGATTAATTAAGTATTTGATATTTTTACATACATATACAGTTTTTTAATAAATTATTATATTTTTTACATACATGATACATAAATAAATTATATTGTTTTAAATTTTAAATTACACCTTAAGTATAATATAAGGATAGAAAATGAACAAAATTAAATAAAGCTGATACATTTAATTAATACTTACTAACAAAAGTAATGAGAAAAATTATTTTCCAATAATATCGCTTGAACAATCACTACTAATGATTAAATAATAATTCTGTATAATATATTATGTACATCGTAGACTCATATGTTAGTTTTCCGTGCTTACACTTTAAAGACAAGTTGAAGTACCACACTCCAGTTTGAAGACAGTTACAATTTGAAATAACTGTCATCTCGTGTAGAAGAGTGGACTTTATTTGAATGTACAACTAGATTTTTGCAAAGGAATTTGTTTGTTTTCAGACAGATGTTTACAGTTGAACGCCGGCAGACAAAATACGAGAAAAAACACATGTTATAATGAATGAATCAGTTGTATAAGTTTGTAAAAGAAGAAGACGTTTACAAAAATGCTTTCTCCAAATGTATTCAACAATCTTACTTTTTAAATGTAAGCTTCGCACTACTACTGTACGAAGTCCATTAAAATATATATTTAAATAAACATCTCATTATATGACAGCACGCGCACCATTATAATATAATGATTATATTATACATACGCACAATTGTTTTTCCATTTTTAAACTGCATACAAACTATAAAAAATACATTCATGAGTTCTTTCAATTTTGTATAATTTTTCTTAATTTATTTTACTGTAGGTATAAATATATACTATATAATGCCACTATAACTACTTAATACCAATTGTGTAACTAAAATACAATGGAAAGAACTTGAAATCTCTTTTGAGGAATAACATAAGTAGTAAAATAATATATGCATATTAATCATAGTGTGCGTGTAACTACTGCACTACAATACTTTATTATTTTGTCTATTTCTTTTTTTTAAATATTGTACTACCTATAAGCAAGAAAAATCGAAAAATCAGGTTATTTACTTTTTATTTCCGGTGGATGATATATATTTTTCCATGGAAATTGTTTTGTTCAGATTTTTTTGAATGAAAAGTGTGATGTAATTTTTTTTGCATTTCTCATACTACCAATCACGCCATAATAAAATAATGGTACTATATTATGTTATATGATGGTAAAAAGTGAAAATTATATTAAATATTGGGATCATTTTTCATTGACTATAGATACACTATATTATACATCTAGGTTTTATTTACATTTTTTTTTTTTTCATAATTTATGCTTAAAAATTACTATATTGCCATTATTCCTGTGGTTATATTATAATGCTGCATAGTAACGTAAACGTGGGCTAAATATGTTGATCTTATCTTATGACGTATCTATATGTGCTGTAATATATTCGATAAAAATCATATTATATTGTCTGGTTAGCCCCAGAAGAAATTATTTCCAAAACAATTATAATATTTTAAATATTATATCAAATCCGGCTGATCTCTACGTTTGCTTTCAATGAATTTCATACTAGGAGTCCTAGAAAATTTGCGGAGATACTTTGATAATTATACTATCAGTTTATGAATAATAATTCATACTTAATTTTCAAAATCACCGACAACCAATATAAATTACTTTTGATTGATTAGGAAAAAACTTATAATAGAGCTTTAAGCAAAAAATCGAAAACCATCAAGAAAATAAATTATAATTATACAATAGATTAGTTACAAAAGGCTCTCTCAACGATCATTGTACATACCCCAATTACATAAATGTTTTTTTAACTACAGGAAAAAAACAATTGTTTAATAGTTATTTTAATACTCAAATAATAATAATTAAAAAAAAATTAATTATAAAATATTATATAAGTTAGATAAATATTATCAGCTAATATTACATTGAAATTTCAGTTTATTATTTCTCTGCACCACCAAAAATTGGCCCCAATTCATGCCACTATATATAAATATACGACTGATAAAACATTTTATTTATTAACATTTTACATTTTCTCAACCTCCCCCCTCCGGAATCTTTTCCTACGTTCGCCACCGAACACATCCCTTCGTTTCACCCATAGAGTAGTTACTCTAGACAGGTTGGACCAACTTTTTGTGGTTCCCGGGCCAATTTACACATTCTTAAACACATCCGGGGGCCGACAAAATAAAAAAAAATTATATTTTACCTATTTATATTCTATTTTGTAATTTTATATTATGCACACATTATTATATTACAAATTAAGTTACTTAAAATTACAATTAATTATAATTTAGAATTAGTTAATTAATTAATGTGATAATTGACATTGTTTTTCATTAGCCAAGTTTTCGAAATCAATTGAACACCCTGTGGTGGCTAACCTTATTTATGTATTAAACATAAATACATTAATTTACCATTTTGAATTAAATAATCTTTTTTCATCTTCTAATTTACGTTTTTTTCATTTAGACAAAGTAAAAATAAAACGTATGTACGTAGGTCCGTATTTAGGGGGACATTGGTAGGCACATGCCCAGGGGCGTCAAGTCTCAGGGGCGGAGAAATATTTTAGTAAAATTAATTTTAAAAATGATTTACCTAATGAAAAAAAAAAATAAAACAATAAAAAAAAAGAAAATAGTATATTTTATTATGTTATAATTTGTTAATTAAAAAAAGTATTAAACGATTTTCATTTATAAGTTATATTTTAATATTAAAGAATCTCGATTTGGACGAAATAATAAGTGTTGTATTATTATTAATTATTTTTGGGGGGAGGGGCATAAATTATATGCCCAGGGCGCCAAATATTTAACTATGGGTCTGTATATACGGTAATAACACGGGCATTGTCACACGGGTACACGAACAAACGGGCTCAACTGGTTAATAATTACTGATTAGATTTAGTTTAGAGAAATATTTAATACTTACCATTGTGAATGTAATTTACGCCGTCCATCGCGTCTTATCGCAAAAACTCCCATCTTACTCTAGTTTTAGCATAAACGACTTAAACTATAAATATAAAACAATAAAATATAAAATGTATACGATCATAACACAATTTTGTTACAATCAGTGCTCGACTTGAGGGGGGAAGCAGGGGTGACGGAGTACCCCTTCTAATTTTTAGAAATTTTAGCATCCCCCTACTATAAAAACGTTATAATTATAACGCTTAACAAGTTTTGGGGACGCAATTTTTTTTTAAGCAAACAGAGTCCCCCTTCTTTAATTTTACCAAATCAAGTACTGGTTACAATATTATTGTGACTTTAATTTTTAATTAATAAAATAAATGGTTAATTTAACTGTGGGGGTACATTAAAAAAAGGCTTCGAAGGCCTCATGCGACCCGCGGGCCGTGGATTTTACCACCCTGTTCTATGATTTTCGCCCGATTTTTGAGAACACAAAATTACATTTGTATTCAACCCATAGACCTGAGAACGTGTACCACGGTTACGACACGCATGGTAAATTGTGCTATCGTGATAAGGCGGTAGTGTACTAACTGGTGATAATAAAAATCGAATATTCAGCGTCTAATTCAGTTCGACGATTCTATTATTTTGTTGCAAATATAGTTACTATAGTGTTTTTACAAACCTATTTTGGTGTTTTATTACCATTACACAGAATTTAATCTCGACGCACTTGCTAAAATCGATTCGTTCGTGTGTCGACACTCGTAACGATTATGTTTGTTTAAATTGAATTTCAAAGTTTTCTACGCTACAATTATTGTCAATGGCTAATCATTACGATGTGCCCAATTGGTAAGAAAATAACTTAACAAGTACTGTTCATCGTGTACCAAATGTCAGATATTTGGTCTGCGATTCGTTATTAACACTGATGCGGACCGCAATATGATTTAAATTTCATATTTCTGTTTTGTTTCTAGGGCTGGCAAACCTCCTGTGGGTTTGCATTTAGACGTATTAAAAGGAGACAAATTGATTCAAGTGAGTTAAACAAATCCTTTAAAAAATGATACATATTTTACCTAATAAAAATAAATCAATTGTTTCTATCTTCTTAGAAACTAATGTTGGACCAGAAAAAATGTTACTTATTTGGGCGCAATGCTCAAATGAGTGATTTTTGTATTGATCATCAATCGTGTTCGAGAGTTCATGCAGCTTTTGTTTATCACAAACATTTAAACAGAGCATTTTTAGTTGATCTTGGATCTAGTAAGTTGAAAAACAATTTATCGATTGGACTGCTGTTCGATATTTAACCTACCTATAGTTTAAGAAACTATATAGATACTAATCAAATCAAAAGTAATATTCATACATAATTTTTTTTTCATTTTTAATGTTATCAATTATTAAATATTTTTTTACAATTTAATTTTTCCAAATATACTAATTTTATACAGCACCTCATTGTTATAATTAAATACGTTTTAAACTAAAATAAAACTAAACTATTAGTCAATGTTTATTTCAATATTTGTTTCCAATTTATTTAGCACATGGTACTTATATTGGTAGCATACGAATTGAAGCAGAAAAACCTACACAATTGCCAATTAATAGTCAGTTCCATTTTGGTGCATCTACTCGAACATATATTATACGTGAACGTCCTCAATCTACATCAGCCTTTGGACCTCGTCCGATCATGGATCAATTAGAAAGAGAATCTGATAATGCATCTAGTTTATTAGGATTACCAGAAACCGATCTTGAACTAGATGTAGGTATCTATAATTAATGTAAATTGTAATTCTATAATCATCTTTACTTATTATTTTTAGAATTTAACTGAATTTAATACGGCACAAAATCGACGCATATCAATGCTTGGTATATCAGATGATGCATTAAAACCAAAAAGAAAACGAACTCGAATTCATTTTAATGAAGATGAACAAATTATCAATCCAGAAGATATTGATCCATCTGTTGGTCGTTTCAGAAACCTTATTAGGACTACTGTCATACCTAATAAAGTAAACATTGAATAAACAATTTGGGTTTTAACTAATCAAACTAATTAATTTTTTTAATTTATAGAAATTCAAAGACACAATGGGTTTTTCAATCGACCAAAATAATTCAAATAATCAGAATAAGAACTACATGAAAAATATGATTCCAGGTGCACATTTAAGCAATTCACTTTACAATGATATTCCAGGTCAGTATTATCTGAGATTATCTGTTTCAAAAAAATTAACATATTTTAAATAATACATTTATCTCAACTAATGTATATCTTTTCTACAACTTTTTAGGTCCTGAAGGTGATAAACAACATGGATTCTTATCATCTATTGGTAATCGTCTTGGTATGAATTTACCAAATCCAGCCCCAGATGTCGATATTAATCCTAGTATAGAAGAAACAGTTGTTCCCAAACCAACGGTATCAGAAAAAGTTGAACCAACATCAATGGAACCCAAAAAGAAGAAGTATGCAAAAGAAGCATGGCCTGGGAAAAAAAATGCTCCAACTTTACTTGTTTAAAAAATAAAATCAATATCTTATGTATTGAGATACCTCAACTGCTCTTCAACATACATTTTTTTCAATATAATATTATTAAGCATAATTGAATAGTAACTGTTAATGAATTTTTGACTTGTTTAAAGAATCTAAAATAAAATTCAAAAATATATTAAGGTATTGTGTTCACAATATAATATGTGGGTGTGTGTAAGTTTGTAACTTATGAAAGTGTGTAATATGTATGCTAAAATATAATAAGTATTATGAATTATATTATTTGTATTGTTATTGGATTTTCTAAAAATATTTTGTTTTTAATCTTCATCCCTTTATGAGTTCTTAATTATTATATATTAATATTCTATAAGTTCTAAATTATAAAAGTTGGGTCACTAATTATTATATTATTTCTACATAATAATTTTTATTTTAGTGTATTATTTATATAATAACATTTTAGTAAATAATACAGAGTTTATTATAAATTGTATAAATAGGTCCAAATTATATATGTAAATTGTAAGTATAAAATATTAATTGTTTTACATATTTATCCATTGTATGCTATTCCTAATATATAACAATGTATTTAAGATAATAAATAATATCATTAGAATGAATTTTAAAAAATGATCACCTCTTAGACTATTGTACCTGTCCTAATTAAACCATTTGGTTAAGTGATAGGAAAATATAAAATATACAATTTAAGAATTATAGCTCAATGATTATAATTATAATTTTATAAATCAGGAATTGTTTTGTTGCTAAAAATGTATTTTTTATTTTCTATGTGCATAAAACCAATAATGTTTTATACAGCAATTTTATATAAGCAGTACCAGATCTAAGTCTCAAGAGCCCAGGATGCAAATACCAATTGAAGGCCCCTTAAAAAAAAATTGCTCAAAATTACACTTATATTTATATATTGATATATTAAAGAACTTCAAAATAACCAAATTTGAGTAAAAAATAATGGAAAAGACAATTTGCGATTTTAAAATATTGCTTTTAAAGGCCTCGGTAAATTGCATACCCTGAACCCTCACTAAATCCGGCACTATCGATTAGTTAAATAATAATAAACAATATCAAAGTATTGATATCATCTCGATTGTTGCTGTTTTTATTGATCTGTGAGTGCTAAATTCTATATCATATAAAAACAAGGTCGACATTTCGATCAAGAAACAACTTCTATAATTGTATCAGTTAGAAAAATGTTAGAACTTAAAGTCAACAAAAAGACATGTAACATTATTATTTATAATTTATTTTTGACTAGTAACACTTTCTCAGTACAAGTATGATATATTATATTATATTATATATTATACTCATATTTTTATTATAATTTTTTTTTTTCTATTGATCACAAAAATAACATTGACAACAAAGGCCATTAGTTACAAATAAGATTATTATACTAAATAAGAACTAATAATAATAACAATTTTTTTTATATAAGATTGAAAAGTTTTGTTTGTTTTAAAAAATTAATTAAACCAAGGTTATTTTTTTGGTTGGGTCCAAGTGAAGTGTCTAGGTTGTGAGCTATCTTGTGTTCGGCTCGTTCTTGATTGAACCTTAGACAGTCAGCTATTAGGTGTTTGACTGTTAACAAGGTTCCGCAGGTTTGACAGGAGGGGGGTTCCTCTTTTGCCATCAGTAAGCCATGAGTAATTCTGGTGTGACCCGTACGGAGTCTATTGAGAACCGTATCTTCTTACGGTTGAGGTTAGGATTAATCCAACGGTATATGTCTCTTTTTATTTCATTTAATTTTGTGTTTTGTATGTTCCAGATTTTTTGCCATTTATATTTTGTTCATTCAATTATGAGTTTTTTCGCGTCGTCGTATGACATTTTATTAATTAAGACGGTTTCTTTGTTGTTGATGGCGAATGAGGCGTGTTCATCGGCTATTTCATTGCCTATTATACCCGAGTGTCCGGGTATGCACATGATGACGATAGTTTTACCCAGACAGGAAGCTAGGCTGAGGTTGTTCAGAATTTTGGATGCAATATCACCGGGATTGAAAAGGTTCTGCAGACTTCTTATAGAGCTCAATGAATCGCTGAGAATGATGAATTTCGAGTCGACTTCTTGTAATATAGTCTCGATAGCCATAAGTATGGCTGTAGCTTCGGCAGTGAATATGGAGCACTTCGGAGGTAGTTTGTGTATAATTTTTTTATTTGGGAATATAATCGAGAATCCTACACCTTCATGAGTTTTTGAACCGTCGGTGAATACTTCCTGGAAATCTTTGTATTTACTTATAATGCTTTTAAAGAAGCTTTTGAAAATATTTGGTAAGGTTTGATGTTTGTGAAGACAGCTGAGTTCTGTATTAATTAGATATGAGCTGGCCCAAGGAGGTTGGGAAATTTTTTCTTTGGTTATGATTTGCGATATATCGAGGTTTGTGTCTTTCATCTCTTTTATGATGAGGGGGTTGTTTTTTTCGTGAATGATGTTATTTGATTTTGAAGATCTTGCTAAATATTTAAGATGTGATTCCAGCCTTTTTATATCAGGAATGGGTTCACCAGCGAGATTATAAATACTATATACAAGACAACTGCGAAAAGCTCCTAAAGCCAGTCTCAAACCGCAATTATAAACACTATCTAGCCAGTTCAGGAGGGATTTGGATGCTGTTCTGTAAAGGGGATGAACCATAGTTAAGATTTGATTGGATTAAAACTTTATGAATTTTAATTAGAGTGTTTGTTTCTCCACCCCAAGAGGTGGGGGAAAGAATTTTTAAAACATTAACAGAATGACCGGTGGAGGCTTTTAAATGTTTCATGTATGGGGACCACGATAACCGTCTGTCAAATATAACGCCAAGTATTTTTACAGAGTTACGATGAGGAACTTCAACTTTGTCAATTGTTATTTTTAGAGCTTCAACATTTCTTTGAATTGCGTGTTGAAATTGCTGTTTCTGCTGTTCTTGTGAAAATATTCACCGACTTTGTTTGAAATTAGATCGGGATTACTAATAAGTTCATTTGTGTTTTTGTCCACTAGGTTTATTTTGTTATTTCTACTGAGACCTTTTAAGGATTTTATTTTATTCCATAAGAGTTTACTGTCTTCTTTATCGTTAATGCTGCTAGTAAATTTTTCCCAGGAAGTTTTTTTGCTTAATTTGATAAGGTATTTTGATTTGGCTCTGAGTTGTTTGAGAATTATAAAATAGTTCGAGTTATTTGTTTTTTTGAATATTTTTAAGGCTTCTTTTTTGGCTAATAAAGCATCTTTAATGTTTTGGTTCCACAAAGGAACTTTGGATTTTTGATTTTTAGTTTTGGATTTTCCAATTGTTAAGTTACCAGAGTTTATTATGTGGCTTGTGATAGTTTCTGTTAGCTGGTTTATACTTAATTTTTCGGGGTTTTTTATTTTTGATATTTCTGATTCAAGGAATTCAGTAAAAAGGGGCCAGTTCGGGTTTTTTAGATTCCATCTTTCAGCCGAATTATAAGTATCATTGTGTCTAGAAAAAATTTGTATCAAAATGGGAAAATGATCACTGCTGGAGAGATTGGGTAATACGTTCCAATCAGTACGCTGTGCCAGACTTGCGTTGGAGAATGACAGGTCTATACACAATAGTTCACCATTTATAGGGTTAATTCGAGTTGGTTCGAGGTTGTTAAGAAGTACAAGATGGTCATTTTCTAACATTTTTTTAATTTCTTTTCCTCTATTATCGGTTTTAATTGACCCCCACTCAGTGCTATGGCTATTAAAATCGCCTGTCATTATGAATGGTTTGGGTATTTGATATAATATGTTTTCAATGTTGTTTTTGTTAAAAATATGCTGGTAAGGAAGGTATATGTTACATATGTTAAGTTCCATATCCTTCAGTTTAATGGAGGCAGCTAAAACTTCAAAGTGTGTAGTTATATTAATTATCTTACTAGGCAAATCTGATTTTATGTATATGGCTACACCACTGCTTGCACGAAGACAATCAGTTCTATCAGATCTGTATTCATTGTAGTTTTTTAGTGTGCCAGTGTTTAAGTTGTTGAAGTTAGTTTCTTATAAACATAGGATTTCTGGATTGTGTTCGGAAATCAGTAATTTTAGTTCGTCCAGTTTTCTATAAAATCCATTAAAACTCCATTGAAGAATTTTTATGTTTTTTGATATCATCTTGAATTTTTTTTTTTAAAGTTTTAATGAGTAGATTATTGTTTTATCTGACTGTATTTAATTACTAAGGTTTGGGTTTGATTCTTATTTGATTTCATTTACGTTTTAACTAATTTTTTTTTTTTTAATTGTGTATTGTTTATTAAAAATTGAGTGTAATTATTCAATACAGAGAGAGTTATGATATTTGATTCTAGTGGTAGTACTATTCTTGATCTTGCTCAGTAGAGAGAGCCTTATCAAGGAGAGAATTACACAGTCTCGTTAATCTGTTTTTCATGGTTTGGATTTTGATTTTAGGCTTAATGATCTCTAACATTTCGATCATTTCCAAGTTTGTAATGTTGAAATTTTTTAGTACAGCATCAGGATTGGATATGCCGATCGAGTTTTCAATTAAGAATTTGAACTGTTTATAATTTATTTTTTTGCTGGGTATTTCTTCAAATCGGGTTTTAGTGGGTTCGAGTATTTCATCGAGTTGTAAGATTATATTTTCGACGGATTTATTACGTTTTAACTTTTTAGTTGGTTTAGATGTTTTGGTCGTATTTGGTTTAGAAAGATTAATATCATTTGGGATAGTATCTTGCGAAGTAGAATTAGGTGAAGGCGAGTCAGCAGTTGTACTTGATGAAGTTGAGGTGAGTGCTGGTCTTTTTTTCGCATCAGTTGTAATAGGAGTCAATACTAAGTTATCTTCCGTTGTTACTTCCTTAATGGAGCATCGAGAAGGGACGGTGGAATTGATGTTTGTGCAATGATGGTTGTATTGATGTTGAATTTTGGGTCTCCGAATGTATCACATGTGGGGTTATTGATTTCTACTATATCATCAGTGACGTTATAGTTACTTGAAGATTTATTGTAAAATGGAGCTTCATATAACTTAGTGTTAGGGGCTTCTGATGGAGGGTTTTTGCATTGTTTAGAGGTGTGGCCTTTGAGTTTGCATAAGTAACAGGATAGTGTGTCATCGGATAAGAAAATTCTGTGTGAAGTATTTTCATGGTTAATCAGGAGGGAGTTAGGAAGTTTTCTAAAATCATCTGGATTTATGTAGACTTGGCGTCTAAAACTAAGGATATGTGCAAGTTCTGTAATGTTGAATCCAGCATTGATGTGTGTAATCTGTGATAATATTTGTATGTTGTGATATTTTAATTGTGATATAATGTCATCATTTGGTATTGCGGGAGACATTAGAAATAATGATTCTTTTAACCGGGTTTATTAAACGTCTAATTTTAATTGATATCTGGGCGTTTAATGTAATACTGGGATGGTTGATTATAAGAAAGTCCACTGTATTTTTGTCATTGAAATAAATACAAATCAGTTATTCGATATACGAGAAACGTATTTGATGTGTTTAGGTGGTATTAATTTGTTGATTGCAATGATATATTCAATCTGGGGAATGTTGTCTATGGAATCAAAAACGATTACTTGTTCTTTTTTTGGTAAGGTAGCGTTGATAGTGGTTTCAGCGAAAGATTTTTTACTGGTTACATATTTTTCGGGTTCAATGTTGATGTTTTGATGTGATGAGGGTTTGTCACTGGGCACACTCTGTATACTGTTGGTCTTGTCGGTGGAATCATGATTGTGGGTATTTGTATCGCTGTTTTTAATTGGATCATTGTTGGATTCTTTATCGGAGTACTGTGCAGGTGATGGTAGTGGCTCATTAGTATCGTTATCTATTTTGATGGCTGTGTGTACGGTATTGGACATTATGGTATTAGGTTTATTATTTTGTTTTGTTTTTGATGATTGGATTAGTTTAGCTCTCAGATTATTAGAATTTGTGGGTGAATCACTCATTTTTGGGATAAGAGATATTAATAGGGGGTAGGTGTAAGTGCAAAAAATTCGACAGAATGGTAAATATTCATATTACCTGGATTTACACGTAGATTAACTAATTGCTTCGAAAGCTATAAAACGAGAGCGAGATACGATAAACGTGATGCTCGGTCGAAAGTGAACACGTAACTGTTATAATTTTTATTACATGATATACTGTTACAATATAAATTTTGTTTATCAATAAATAATAATAATTGGTACACTTACTAAAATATTTATTTTATAAGTTATACAAAGTATAAACTCTTTTCAAACAAAGGTAAACTTTATGCAGTGGTTGCCATTGAAATATTTTCTTCCATTAATCATTCTTATCTATCACAATTTTTAATAGAACTTTATACTCTCGAGAATTCAACTTTTGATATGATCTGATAAAAATTTTAGCTGTGCCATACCCTCGCAACAATATATTTTGATTAGTATCAATGATTGACACTTACTTTACTGTCCCTTCATGTTTGACTAGTGATAACTATTACTTATAATTAGGCTTAGAAACTTGTTAATTGAAAAAATACCCAAATATGCACTTAAAAATAACCGTATATACGCTAAAATATGCTCAAAAAAAATTAAGTATAACAAATATGTGGTAAAATTAATTATTTATGTTATAATGAATACTGAACAAGTAATCGAAATTATTTGATAAAATAATATCTATTATCGGATATCGTCTAACTGACACCTATAAACGGTTGATACGGGTTTATTGAATTATTTATACCTTCACAAAAATTATAAGTGGTAGTTTTTAGATAGTATATATATTTTTTTTCCGATCGGTTCAAATATGTGTATATACACATATTTTAACTATATAGTTATAATTTCTAAAGTTATACCAAATATGTATCTATAGTTTTTAATTTTAAAATTGAGAAAAATGTGAAAATATTCAAAATAAGAATAATAATTTTAAAATAAGCACATTCCTGCAAAATCTATCAAATATGCACACTCAAATTTTAGATTTGATATCATGGCACCGTAAAATGAATTTATTTCACACTCTGCTATTTTTAACCATAATAAACAAAAATATGCGAATGCTAGAAGTCCCTAAGCCTACTTATAATAATTTAGTTTTTTTTAGTATACTAATGACAAAATAAATATAGGTAAAGTTTATCCAGTTTTTAAGTAATACTTCGATCGATTTTCTCTATTTCATATTTCTCAAGCGTAATTGAGGCTTTTAGAATTACATCAGCCTAATCTGAAGTAGTGAAACTATACAAGACAGGTCCCGAAATGAATAAATAAATGTCAATGACTAAACGAACAATATGCTGTCGTCTAATTATAAAATATTTATTTATTTAGTATTATTATAGTTATTATTATTATTATTATTATACTATTAATATAGGAATTACTGTTATTATTAGGCTCCATTGAAAAATCAAATAATTCTGTATCTATTTATTAACTAAAACTAAATTAGATTTTAGGTGGATTGGACTGATATGGTTCTTCACGTCTCAATTAATTTTTACATTATTTTTCTCGATCTACGAATTTATTTTAATTATATGGTAACATATTGGCAGTGAATTATAGCAGGATCACTATATTGCGTACACAGTATTTTCAGCGTCTTCAAAGCTGTGCAGCTGTAATGATATCAGTCCGTTCACTTAAATTATTAATACGAAAGAAAACAGTACTCCGGGTCCGTGGACTTTTAAAAGTTTTAATAGTTTTAATAAAATCGAATGCACCAAATCTCCTGACTGGTTGAATTTGGGTCTACATATGCACACTTCTAGTAGCTAGCTTTAATATACTTCTTTTACATAATGCAAATATTATTTACTAAATACGCAACACATAATAATGTGTGTGCGTGTGTATGTGTATTAAAAATGTAAAATAAAATAAAAACTTCATGTTTTAAGATAAAATGTATTTTGTTAAATATACTGAAAGAGTACGATGTATACAATGTAGTATAATATGGTATAAATTATGGAAGACAATAGCAGTCTTAGGCCAAAAACGAAAAAAAAAACTTGATGTATTGTGTATAATGTTAACTTATACTTTATATAATATAATGTATAACAAAGAGTATAATTAATTAAATATTTTAAGTAGGTATTTATAAAAGTGAATAATAATTAGTATTAAAAATTACATAGAATCCGAATTTTTTTTTCTTGATTAACAAATAACTTGTTGAATATATAAGTAGGCATATAGGTATTTCACTTTTTTTTCAAAAAATAATAATATTAATAATAATAATATTACAAACATGTATGAACACAAATTATTTTTTTATTATCAATTAAAACTACCTAAAAACATTATTTTTTTTTCATAATATTAATCAGATATTCGGATATGCTATGTAATAATAATTATTATTTTATATATAATATCGTAACGTGAAAAAACATACAATTTATGACGCGTATTATTTAGGTACGTATAAATGCTTACAAATAACATAATAGATTTAACAGGATTAAAGATTACCGACAATATAATTTATAATATTGTTAATAATATATAACATAAGTAACTATTTTTACTCGAAAATATCTACTGGCTAGATAATAATAGTAGTTATTAATAATTTTCTTTATTTTTTTTTTTTTTTTTAATTGGAAGACTTGCAATTGACATTACTTAAAAATTAAGCGCTAATATAAAATATTTTTAGAAAAACATATACGTTTCTCGTATATCCGAAATAAATATATATATAATATTTGGAATCCAAACGTTGTGACATTAAAAAAAAACTGTTCGGAAACCATTAAAATGACAACTAACATTTAGAATTTTTTTATAACGGAAGACATTATTGTTATATTAGAAATAACTACGAACGACTCAGTTCAAATTGCAATACATAAATATACATATGTATCGTGTGCAAACTGTTGTACTTAATTTAATATATATTTATATAGTATATATTATTTATAATAATATATAGAAGATACAATTTATTTATTTTTTCATTAAAACGACCGTAACAAAACCATGAATAAATAATATCCTTGACATCAAAACGATTATTAGTAAAAATATTTCAAATTCAAGAATAATTTGTATGGTAATATCATATCATATATAATATGTGGGCCGTATAAGCCCTGGAAGACAAATGTTGTTTATCACAATATCAATTACATAATATATCGCGGAAGACATGGACTACAAATAATATAACGGTCTAACCGTCCAATTTCAAAATTGTTTACAGTTATGTTATTCTTATAAATAATGTAATAGATATGCATTATTATTATGCGAACATATGGTATAATTCTATAATAATTTGTTTTGTAATTTAAAAAAATGCAAAAACCTTATTCCTCCCTAAATCATATCTATATAAACTTAGATGTGCGGCCATTTCACTGACAGCAGCTAGAATACATAATTATATAATAATCATATTATTACATTTTTTTTTCTCGGCATCAACCTGCTTTGTTAATGAAAAACAAATAATTAAATAACTCGGTAGCTGCGTTTCTATATAATATAAAATAACTTTAGGTACTAATAGATATAATAATTACGATCCGCAGTATATGTAAAACAGGTGAATTATGTTTTTGACAACGACGACCGATAGTATAGAAAAGTTGCGTTTTTCGACAAATAAATCGTTTGTATTTAACCGGCGAGTCTTTTTCTGTTGTAATTTCATAGTTCAGTAATTTTTTTTTATCGACTTAACAAATAGTACTGCAACACATACGATTAGCTGTGTATATCGTTCGGATCGTGGGACCGATAAGGGATGTGAATCGAAATTAAATGCAACGCTTTAACCATAGTAAATGAAACATTTAACCGCAATTCACGGGTGTTTCCAGCTGAGTGTATTCTTTCGACGATTGAATAGACATCGCTTTTAAGATTTGAGACTTGGAATTTGTCAGACGGTAAAATCCAATTAAAATGCCGGTTGTCGGGGTTATAATTTCGTAAGACACTTGAAGTCGAATATATAAACTATAATAAATCAAAATATACCTGGATTCAGTTCTGATGTGGGTTGATTAAAAAATAAAACAGATGAAAAATGAAACGGATGAAAATGTTCGTCAAACCAAAAGATGAGCCCGGTAGGCGATAATACCTATTATCGAGGAGAATCGTATATTATTGTTATCGGTTCTCAGCATCAAAAGGCTTTTCAGGACAAGTGAAGAAAAGCAATCATGCTCAGAAGCTGAAATTTAAGATTATTTTGATAATAATGTTCACACTTTCAGTAACGTATTCATGGAAGGGAAAAATAAGAAATCGAAATAAAAAGTTACCATCAGCACAAACTGTAGCAATGACCATAACTCATTTGACGTATCAGAAATGTTAATGGGCAAAGAAAAAATACTTGGGCTAAAATATTGTCATCCCATTCAGCAAAATCCGATTAAAATAACGAAACGAGCGATACCAAACACGTTAAAGTTCGATGCTCTCTCTTTTTCTCTTTCTCTCCCTCCCCCTAATCTCTCCATACATTTATATAGTACAGTATTGTGCATGATGCGTATGCAGTACTATTATAAAGCCAAGTCTGCGGAGATATAAAAACGCGTTTTTCTTGTATCGTTTTCGAAGCCCGTTTTCGTATATAGTTCGGATCGCGTGATTCACAAGAAAAGAGATAATAAGATTTGCTACGATGTAAATAAAACGCCATAGTCAATATAGTCAGTGGATAGGTGTGTGCGTCTATCTCGTAAATGTATGAATACCAATCGCGCGATATCAGTCTCCCCGTGACAAACACCTCAGCGATTTGCTATTTCCCGCACTTAAACATATATTATTTACGTATTATTCACGGACGATCATCGCAATCCCGGTTCTATAAATCAACGTGTACGATGCGTACATATATCATTATAACATCACCGTCGTTGTTGTCGGCATCGGTGATTTGTCGGTGAAATGGTGGGACGTAGGGTTTCTGTGGGAGAAGTGAGGAATGATAGGTTTTTTCGTACACGCTGATCGTATTCGAGAGCTCGGGGATTTGTATTTTTCGCGGGGAGAGAAGACATTTCGATTGTTGAACTCCTGGCAAAGCAGTCTTTTGACAAAGTCAAATCGTTTGTTTTCCAGACCACCGTCTTAAATAACTCGCATAGTATTCACACAGTTTATCTTTGGATTAAAAACCGTGAACTCGTTATGGTTGTAGAAACGAATGAAACACTCTTGTGTTGTTTTTCCAACGGTTAGGAATCTTTACGAACATTCGAAAAAATTCTGTTAAAAACGGATTTGTTGCGGATTTGATTTCAATGCGCGTTTAATCGGTGTTCGCCATCGCACAGGAGGAACAACAGGCAGTGCGGTTTTAACCTGAAGTAATAACGTTCGGATTTCAGAAAAAAGACGCGTGTTCACACATAATAACCGTTTCAGTGATGATAAAAACGATAGTAAAAATAATAATCGCAATAGTTAATCGGATGTCGGGCGTAAACCGGGAAAACGCGTGTTGAAAATCGACCGGGTTTCGCACTGCGACGATCATAGAAAAAACAAAAAAAAAAAAAAAACGTTAAGCGCGTATGGTAATGATAGGTCGCGGGTGGTTGTCAGATGAAGAGGAAGAGACGAGGAGAGATATGGGGAGTAAGGGGTCAGGACGGCGCTCAGAACGGCAATCCGATCTGGAACGCTTTGATGATGGCGGTGCCAGAGTCGTAGACGCCGATGACGCCAAACAAACAGCCGAGGAATATGACGAAGCAGTCGAACGCGATGGTGCGCCATTCGAGCGAGTCGCCCTTGAGCCTCAGGTGGAAGTAGCAGGGCCAGATGAACGACAGCATGGTGCCGGTGAAGCTACCGATGAAGCCCATCAGTATGGCGAAGTGCGGTATGGATATGGCCATGAACACGGTACACAGGATGATGGCGATGCGGAACGCAAGGCCCCAAACCTTGAGCTCACCGTCCAGGTGCCAGATACTGGGGTACGCGGTGGCGGGCGGCCCGATAAAGAACGACTTCTCGAGTATGTCGCACGCAGCATAGTACGGCAACGGGTACGACAGCAGCACCTTGACCACCAGGAACACGTTGACCAGGCCCTTGAAGGCGGGCGAGTGCAGGTTGTTAGTGATCACCTGCTGCGTGTCGTTCTGGAACGTGAGGAAGCACACGTAGCCGAACAGCGACTTGAATATGGCGGCCGAGATGTGGCTCCACTCGAGCATCCAGTCAAACTTAGACCGGTCGATGAGGTTGCCCTCGAGCGTGGGCAGGAATATCTGCGACGTGTAGCTGAACACGATCATGCCCAGCGATATGGGGAAGTTCTCCACGTCGATGGTCCACTTGACCTTGCTCCAGCCCCAATCGGGCAGCTCCAGCACGCAGTAGCCGAGTATGATGATGTTGATGAGTATGTGTGACATGGTGCACCAGAAGCTCAGCAGTGACACGTGGTGCAGGTGCTTAAGGAACCCGAGCGGTATGAGCAGCACGCCGGTGATCATCATCCAGCTGCGCGTGTCGATCACGCCATCCGGGAACGTGCCCTCCATCAGGTCGCCGCACGCCACCACGTACAAGATGCACGTCATCAGCAGCTCGATCATCTGGGCCACGTTCACGGCCCGCGCGCCCCACACCGGGCCGAAGCAGTCGCGCGCGATCGACACGTACGAGTCGCGCACCCGCACCCGCTGCCCCGTGTTCAGGTCCAACTCGTACAGGCACTCCACCAGTATCTTGCCCGTGTAACAGCATATGTACGCGATCCCCACCATGGCCAAGATGGCCCAGTAGCCTCCACGCAGCACCGCGAACGGCAGCGACACCACGAACATTCCCTGCGCAAATACCGTACAGTGTAATGTAACATATGATAATTGATAGAACGCGATAGGCATGTGTATGTATGCGTGATGCGGTGCGATGTTTGTTTTGTTTATGATTTTTACTCTCTCACGCCGACGAAACCGTAGTCGGTGGCGAAACGGACGAACGGCAGACAGAGATACTCGAAAACGTTAGAGCAATATGATGGAATACGAAGATCGGTCATACGTTGAGGCACGAAAACGTACCGGTGTGTAGGATACTAGAAGGAAAAAATAAAGAAAAATAAAGAAAAAAAAACAAAAAAAAGTAAAAGGACAAATGGTCTCCGACGCTAGACCATCGAGCTACACGGGACAGTGATGGTTAGCCGGAATCAGAAAAGAGTGGAGCAATATCTGACTGCGAAATCAACCATAAGGTAGATAACGAGAAGAAGAATATCATACGATCAGTGCCGGATTTAGCGGCGATGCTGAAGGTGCAATGTACCGGGGCCTCAAGTTCTAAAGGACTTATAAAACCAAAATCTAAAATTGAAAATTATCTTTTACGATATTTTTTTTCCTTTTTTTTTTTTTTTGTTTACCAATTATTTAAGGTACTCCTACTTAAATTTCATTTTTAAAATTAATACATCAACATGTGTTCATAAATATACTCGTATAAGTGTTATATTGAGCAAATTTTTTTTTTTTTTTAAGGGGCCTCCAATCGATATTTGCACTATCTTATTGCACCCTGGCCCAGGGCCGGCGTTAGGGGATACAATATCACCCCACAAATGAATGACGTATTTATATAGTTAGCAATCATCAAAAATTTAGTAATATTAGTATTGAATAATTTTATTTTAGAAAGTAGTATTCAAATTTGTATATTTATGACCTAACCTATCCCTTAATATTCTCTATCGCCGGCCCTGCTCCGGCCTCCTGAGAATTAGATCCAGCATTGGATATGATATTATATTATAATTATAATAAATATTACATGCTACACGAGTATTTTTGCATTATGTGGTTGGTTCGACGAGAAAACGGGACCGCGCAGAAACCAAAACTCATTGTGCAACCATCTATCCATCCGCCCATCGCGATTTTCTGATAAATTTCCGTTATTGCATACACGTCACGCCCCCGCTCTCACAAGTCGAATAGATATAGGTTTCCCATGGATACCGCGGTTTCCTGCGAGTGTTTATTGACCACATTCCCAGTACTGCTAATGTGCGTGTTTCACATCACTATTACTATTATTTATGGTACGTTCGACGTGCTTTCGTTTTATAAACTTAAGCGTAACATCATGTGTACCTGTGATCGGAAACCGCCGATAAAGCTTGTGCGATCGTGTTCAATGCGTACCCTTATATGTAAATATGCGGAGCGAGAAACATGAGTTCGGTTCTCGGTTCGAAGTTTTTATTTTCTTAGTAGTTTCCCGAGAAGTTTACGTTCTCTTATGTTCAATAAATAACACGGTTTTAATAAATACAGCAGGTTCGCAGAATACAGTAAAATCCGAACGAAAACGAGGGACAGGGACCCTGCATATGACTTGAACAAAAAAAATCAATTTTTTTGCAATTTAGATTTTTTAAACTATTTTTAACTATGTATGATTGAAAAAGAAAACTATTAAAATCATCAATTATGTATATATATAAAATTACATTCCTTTAAATAACTCAATATTTTATTTTGAACATAAAGACATATTAATAATTTGCTATATAACTATGCGATAATTCTCAAGCCCGTTCGGATTACCACGTGTTTTGGATTAGCATGTACTTCGATTAACGCTATCCTACTGTAATTAGTTTAAGAAGCTCTTTTTGAAATGGTTAAAAATAAATAATATATGTCTCTTACAGGTCTTGCGCAGTTATAATAATTAAACTATTCCGTGGCAATAATTTTATTTTCGTGTCAAACTCATTCACGTTGCTGTAATTGCGAAAGTAATTAAAAAGTTTTTGTCGTTTGTACAGTACTACGTATTTTTTACCCCGGTTCGGTCGAGAGAAACAGATTTATTTAATAACAACCGCGTATAAAATTTATGAAGTACTTATTATTCAATATTCCTGAGAACTCCCCATCGATCAAAAATAAATACAAAATGTCCTCACCGTTATGATAATAAAAACAAAGTTTTAGGGCAAAAGTTTTTATATATATATTAAATTTGACTTCGACACCTTATTGTCTTTCAGCATATATATTTAATAACAGTTTTCAGATAGTTTTTCAATTACGAGGGGTAACGGGTCATACATAAAATATAGACGTACGAAAAAATATTGTTGTATAACATTATATAGTGTGCACGGGGAACAAATATGATGATTAAATTATAATAATTACGTGCTATTTACAAAATGAATTATAGTTTAAGTCATATATCATATAAAGTGCATGTCTTAGTTTAAAGTGCAATACAAGAAATTTGAAAAAAAAAGTGCAAGTAAAAATCATGATAATCTTTTGTCGAAACAGTGCATAATAATATAACAATATACATATAGTGTTGATAGTGCATATTGTATTGTGCAATGTGCATATAATATCATTCAACGTCGACAGAATCGTCGAAACTCACTTAATAAATATACTGACCATAACATTCGTTCACGGTGTAGCTCGTCGATTCACCTAAAATAATGTGTTAACAAGTCTTTATAATAAAATAAATTATAATCGGATAAAATATGACTCAGGAATAACTGTGTACACACGTTATAATTTATATTTATAAAATTAGATTACAATTTAATTTTATAGTCAACCCGGACATCGCGTGAAATATTAACTCCCACTTTCACCGTACAGCAATTGAAATCTACTGTATAACATATAAGAATACATATTTTTGTCGGAACGAGTACTAACGGATTGGAACCAGAGCCGGCGAGAATTTTTGAGGGCCCTGATCGGTTCAAGGTTCCCTTTATTTGCACTTGTTAGGCCGCGATATACATACTGCTTGTACATACTTTAGTACATCAAAAATATTGTGCTTTAGCCCTCCCTGCCCCACGCTCTCGCTATCCCTGATTGGGACACCCATGTTAACCGGTGGAATCCGGAAACAAGATCTAGGGCACACTCTTGGATGGCCAGGGTTTCATTCGCGGATATGGTGAATTCGTTAGAATTCAGAGGTTAGGAATTATACGACATAACGATACGATGTGTAAACGTGTATAGACGGCAAATATTCATTCGTGTCCTCATCGACCATTGCGTGTACATTTTTTAGACCGCACCAATATTAAGTCCGACTACTGAGTTGAACGACACCGATTTTTGAACCAAACATCATCAAGGGGCTAAAGTTTCATAAGAACAATAAGGCACCCCTCCCTTCTACGTAAAATGTACCTAAAATATAACGTGTGCTTTAACCCATTCCCCCGTCTTCTTCGATCCCGAGTTAGATCAGGAGAAGAGATGAACAGATAAACGACTGAATTCACTCGAGGATTATATCGACTGGGTTTCTCACTCGTTCTCGAAGGTATTAAGGTCATTGTGATGTGCTATGTTTTGAAGCGTTCGAGGCATCCGAGACGAAAAAAGAAACACGTCTTATCCTTAGGGTCGAAGGACCACAGAGAAAACCCGTCGCCTCCAAACCATCGGAACCCCCACCCCTCTAATGACGTAGCACGCGGACGGTCGCGAGCGGATCATGAGGTCGCGTACACCTTCAAGGTATAATTACACCGTTGTAGTACTACGTTCATGGTACGTGTTATACCTGTATGGCGTTAGTGACGTTCCACGCGGCTTGCCATTCGTCGATCTTGTGCCGCCCGCGGCCGAACTCGCCGCCCGCCGAGTCGTCATCGAAGCTACCGTCATCCATGCTGAACGCTTGCGGCGTCCTCCTGGTGACCCCTTCACCGGAGGCTGCGTCCGCGTCTCGTTTCTCCACGCCGCCGTACGACGACAGCTCCGAATTGCACGTGGTCCGGAACGGGTTAGTGTCCGGTCTGCCACCCGCCTGCAGCCTGCTCTTCTCGGCGTCCGCGCCCGACGTCCCGGCCCCAGCCGCCGTCGCCTGGTCGCCGCGACGTTTCGCGATGGCCTCCATGCACGGGCTGTCCTCGGGCACGTACGCCTTGACGGCGGCCCACACCACGTTCATGGCCGCGCCGAACGGCGGCACGTAGAACCGGCCGAAGTTGGCCATGGACCGGTGTCGTCCCGTCTACCGTAGCAGCGTCGCGCGCCGGCCGGTCACTTCGAGGGTGGCGGCGGCGGCGGTGGTGGTGTTGGTGGTGGTGCGCAGTGCTCGAAGACGAACAAATAACGGCGCGAAAAATCGATCGATACCGAACGTGCAGAAGACGGTTGTTGTTATTGGTTAGCACCGCGATAATACTGCCCGTGCCGCCGCGGCCGCCGCCGTCGTCTTCGTCGTAGTGCCCTTTGCCGGTGTCGCAGTCCTAACCGCCTCCGCTTCGGCCGCCGCTGTCGCAGTCTTGATCGTCGTCACCGTACCGATGCGGGCCGTACGCATATTTTTCCGGGCCGAGCGGTGCACACGCGGTCCTGGTGCTGCTTAGGGGACGTGTGCGGCGCGTGCACGTCGAACGGTCCCGAGCGCGGGGTCGGTTTTGGGGAGGGGGCGCGATAGTGGGAATCCGGAAGGAGAAAAGTGAACTCTGAAAATTAAAAAAAAGAAAACCAACGACGGAAGCGAAAGTGATGTCGGGTGACGCGGAAAAAAAAATTAATAAAAAAATCGCCAACTGTGCGTGTGTCGTCGTGGCCGCGGAGCGGAAGCGATTAGGCGGCGCGAGGGGGTACGGCGACGGCGGCGCGGATCGATGAAAAGCGGGCGACTAACCCGTCTAGTCCGTGCGCGGAGCACCGCATTCTGGTGTCGAAATTTTGGGCGGTGGCGGCGTCCCGGGATCCGACGAACGCTCGTCGATACGTATCACGAGCGGCGCACACGCGCACGTATGCACTGGTACCGAACGATTTCGGCTGTGCGCGCGGCACCGGAGATTGTTTTCGGTGATCCGTATTGATTCCCGGACGTTTTTCGATTTTATTGCAATCTCCATTTGATTTTATTTATTACTTATTTATTATTATTTATTAAAATTGTTTTCAATGTATTACACGACTATTTGTAGCGTATTTTAATTTGTCTGATGCTACAGATTTATGAAAGTTTCCTTCCATTAACACACTATATGCCGCGGTAACAATTAGAAGTTTAGAAACCTACCCTTAATAACCATTATTAAGTGTTAAAGGCAGGGCCGTATTTAGGGGGCAGCTACAGGGTGCTGTTGCCCCGGGTAGCTGAGTATGAGAGAGTGACTAATTTTTTTATATTTTTAATAATATGTATTAATATAATAATATGTAATAATATATAATAATGATCTAATATTTTTGAAGTGAAACTTCTTTACAAAATAAAAAGTGTATCTCAAATAAAAATATACATCGTCAATCACGGCGTCACGACACACACACACACACACACACACACACACATATTCGGTAACAGTCGATTACTGTCGATAGATCCAAAGATTTACCAACAATCTATCCTTATGTAGACATTAGAGATGAGCAAAAAGTTTGAAACATCGATGTTCTGATATTTCAATGTGTCTACATTTGAATCATCGATGTTGGTGAACGATATATTCAACAAAAAATCGATGTTATAAAAACATCGATGTTTAAAAATATCGATGTGTACCTTAACGAGTTTTAAGAAAAATTGTATCTATGTTATATGTATGTATGTTATGTATAGATTGTAAAATATTTAAATAAATACGTTATTTAAACATCGGATTTCGGATTAAAAAAAAATTAATTTTTTTTTAATACATCATAATAAAAACATCGATGTAGGGTTTCAATATATCAAACGAATTTTTGTCACATTTTTAGTTATTAACTTTCATTAAATATTGTACATTATATATAAATACTGCTTAATTGTACACTCATTACTACAATAAACATTAAACACTTAGGTACCTATTCATAATAATGATTATAATTGAGTCTTCATTGATATTTTCATAAATATGAAATATTGACCAAAAAATAACATTTTTTGAAAATATCTTTTTTTTTTATCTAGGTAAAATGAAATAATATTTTATCTTTATCTAGATGAATTTGGACATACTATCTTTCATCTTTATCTAGATAAATTTTGAATTATCTATTCCCAACACTGGCCATAAGTATGAGTGGATAGAATTGTTGATATACAAATATTGACTGTTAAAATAAGCCACCTAGCAGTGACACTTTTTAACTTGATTAATTAATATTGTAAGTTAATTTTGATTTATGAGGTTTTTAAACGGTTTTAAATTTAATTTACTAAAATATCTATGATTTGAATAGGATAAAAATGCATAGTAATCTTTTAAAAGATCCAATATGTGTCACGAGGCAGTCAGGATATAAGAAGAATATCGATTAAGCCAGAGTTTCTGTTAATTATTATTGTGTTTATTCTCGCATGTAAATTTCTTATAATTTATACACATTTACCTTTATATACTTTTATAGGGATCAAAATATCTTTATTTAAATTTTATATTTTATTCAATACCCAAGATTTGCTAGTGAAGCCATTCGCAGTGACCATACTTGCGTTACAGATATTATTAATTTCATTAGATTACACGAGCACCAGTGAAATATAATCATAGGCGCAATTTAGGGGAGGGCTTGAATGTGCTTAGCACCCCTATTTTCGAAATTAGACATTAACCTATGCCCACATTAGACAGAATCCACTGTATTTTAATTGCTTCTTATAAATATTTATATTCAATTGAAAACAAAGATATAGGAACTTATTCAGTTGCACTTTGTCTTGAATATTATATGAATTTTTTTCATGTAAAATAAAATTACACCCATTTTAGTTATTATATTTTATAATTTTGTAAATTCATCATCATATCAGTTTTTCTTAATCTTAAATATATTACCTACATTATTAACTATGCATTTTATCATGTATGCGACGATATAAATAAGAAATCAATAAATAGAAATGTACAATAATATAATAATATTATATATTGCAAGAAAAAAAATATAAATATTATTTAAACAAAATGTAAAATGTTATTAAAGTAATGAAATAAATATAGAAAATTTTTTTAAGAAATTAAACATTAATATAATATTTTAAGTCATCTTCAATATCGTTGATTATGTATTTCATGTTCGGTGAGCTGGCGTTAATTTCTTCATCTTGATGTATTTTATTGAATCTATAAAATAGTAAAACAGATAAATTTTATTTTATAATAAGAATTCAAAAATATTAATATTTATCCTAAAAATACCATTATCTTTGACAAGTGGTTTGCTTCCAAAAGAAGCTTTTTATCTGATTTGAATGTTTTCAAACAATGCTGCACGAGTTATCGATAAAACAAAATTAGTTTGATCGTTTTTCAATAAACATGTTATAATAGGAGATAACTGTTGAATAATATTTTGTAAATATTAAGATTAAATTATATTTATTGTATGTTGGAATTTAAAATGGGAAACAAAATTGGAGAAAAAAAATTCGTTTACTACTTTTAAATTAATTATTTAATTATTAATTATCTTATTAATTAGTTTTACATGATAAAATAAATTAATATTTATAATTATATCGTGATTAAATATTTCGAAATTATAAGTCAAAATGTCGATCGAAAATATCGATCGACATCCTCCGTATAAGATAAGTATAAGATATGTATAATATTGTTAATAGTACCTATATGTAATTATTACATTGTTGCATCAAATTCGTTTCTTCTACGAAATCATATAGTAAATCATAGCAGTCACTTTGAATGAATTAAGTCATTAGTTGAACGGTAAGTGTTTTTTGTCTATGTTTAAAACGAGATCCCTTCGTAATCGACTGATCTGGATCTGAAACTAAGACCGACGAAATTAATTCATCTTAATCCAACCTGTTGTTGTCGCAAATTCCGATTTTCACCACCTTAATTTGCTGTTTAACGAATTCACAAATATCAATACTATTCAAATTATATTAATATTTAAACCAATGGCTCAGTTTCATCGATTTCAGTTGTTTCATCGTTTTATACCTCAATACCCCAAATCAAATCACATTGGTTTTGAATAATCGATAAAAGTCTGTGCAATATTTTAAACTCAGTTTAGAATAATATTATATAGTTACCTTCGTGAATCCATTTGTCGAAGTAAATATCATATCGTGTATTTTAATGTTCTTAACGTTGTTGACATAACTTTCTCTAAATCACGTTCTAGTATTAATAGATTCACAAAAGCTTTAGCCAAGCTATATTAGGCTAGAAATACATCTAGAAATAATAAATCACGTTATTAGGAGAGCTATTAAAATTTTTAATTAATAGCATTTAAAATGTTACTTTAAAGGCGTAGGGAAAGTAGCGTCCCCATCGCCCGGTACATTATAATAAATGCACCGCAATAGCCCTACCCTGACCTTAATTGGTTGGGGTAGTCTGGTCCTCCAGGTTGGGGGTTGAGCGTAGGGCTAACAACCCTACCTCGTAAAAAACTCATTGTTACGATTCAACCAAAATCGCCTCGGATTAAAAATGTGGAGCTAAAGGATCTCTCGATAGAAACATGGAATGTACGATCGCTGTATAGGGCCGGACATTTGACGACAGTGATATCGAGTCTTGAGCGGTATCAATTGAATATAGCTGCGATTCAAGAAACTAGATGGCCAGGGCAAGGAAACCTAAAAACAAATAATTGGACCTACTTTTACAGTGGTGGACTGGGGCATCAAGCAGGAGTGGGCTTCATCGTGAATGACAAACTCCTACCTAACGTAAAACGCTTTGAAGCAATTAACGACAGAATATGCTATCTAGAATTAAAATGTAAATGGTACAATCTAGTCATAATCAATGGTTAGGCCCCTACCGAGGACAAAAATGAGGAAATTAAGAATGAATTCTATGAAAGACTGGATACTATATGTGACCTACTACCAAACAACAAAGTAAAAATAATACTTGGAGATTTTAATGCTAAGATTGGTAAAGATCCCCTTCTTCAGTCCGACAATAGGGAAAAATAGCTTACATACAAACTCAAATGACAATGGTTCAAGACTGGTAAATTTTGCTATGGCACGAAATATGGTAATAAGTAGCACTATCTTCCCTCATAAAAACATCCATAAGCAAACGTGGGTTTCGCCTGATGGACGAACGAGAAACCAGATAGACCACGTAGCAGTAGATGGTAGAATTAAAAGATGTATAATGGATGTACGTAGCATGAGAGGTAGTAGCGGAATATCAGACCATTTCATTGTGAAAACAAAAGTCAGATTTAGAATATCTATAAAATGGAAAGAACAAAAATCACCAGTCAAAAAGCTAAACATTGAACATCTAAAGAATTCTCAGACAACAGAAATATACAAAAATAGGTTAAATGATGCACTGCGAGCAGTAGAAGAGGAGAGCAATATAGATGATATGTGGGAAAAAACAGAGAAGTCAGTGAAGAAAATAGCAGAGGAAGTTCTAGGATTTCAAGGGAAACGATCAATAAATAAATGGTTTAACGAAGAATGCAAAACTGCAATGGCAAAAAGAGACAAAGCAAGAACAATAATGTTAAGAGATCCAAGTGAAGCCAATAAACGAGAATTAGCACTAAAACAAAGAGAAGCAAAACAGATAATTAGAAAAACAAAAGAATGTGGGAAAAAGCCAGATAGAAACCATCGAAAACAGCTACAAAAATAATACAAAACTATTCTTCGGAAAGGCAAACGAGATTAAAAATGGATTTAAACCAAGATCAAAAATAATGAAAGATGACGAGGGAAATTTAATTACCGTTAGAGAAGAAGTA